CTTCTCCGCAATCTGGCCCTTCAAATCGGCCTCCATTTTTGTGGATTCCTCCTTCAACTGAACAATCACCGCGTCGCGAGTAGCTATGATGTCCTTCTTCCCTTCCAGCTGCGACGTAACTCGGCGATGGTCATCCTCGGCCGCCACTAAACTAACCAAGGCTCGGCCAACACATGCCTTGGCGTAATTCAGCCTGTCAACACTGGACAGGGAAGAGACTCCTACCTCGGACTTGGGGTCCCAAACCATCAACGGGACCCTAGCAGCATCCTTCGCATTTTCCGGCATTTCAATCCTCGATGACATATGGGGAGATTTCACTGACAAGAAAGTGGAAAACCAATCTTCCACCACACCCTCGGGCACCTTAACTTTCGCAGCCCGTTCTTCATCAATTGTTAAAAAGGATTTCTCGAATAAGGGCGAATCATCGGTACCTTTTTCAGTCACCTTACGGCCGGAGTCGCGCTTCTTCTTGGATCTTTTCTCCACCTCGGACGAAGCACCGACGTCCGCTATCTTCACCAGCTTTCTCTTCTTTCTCCTCTCCGGTTGCTCCAAATCAAGCGACTTCGGGGAGGCTGGTGGCATCTCGGTATGGACAACCTCAGTAGAAACTATTTCAGTCCCAGCAAAAATTGGCTCCGGATCAGCCTGATTGATCGCCACAGCTTCCACTACCGACAACACTTCGGTAGTCGCCACCTCGGGCACAGACTTCGGACTCCCCGGCATGGCAGCCGAAGTGGCGCTCGACCCCATCTCGGTCGATTTTTTCCCAACATTCCTCTGACCAGCTGTCTTTTTCACCAATGCACGAACAAGATCCCTCCTCATGGCGTCGTTTAACCTCAAATCACGGCTCTTACCGACTTTAGATTGAAGGTCTTTGTTCGGAAATTTACGTCTGAACTCTTTGGCTTCCTTGACCGAGCTGTAGCCCAAGAAACCGAGGAGAGGATAATATACTGCATATCAACCAGACAAGAGTCATATAAACAGTTGTGTCATATGTACAAGAAAATTCGACATTTTTACTGGCTAAACTTCTCTTACCGGGGTCAAATGTCGATGTCGTAACTCCCAAAGACAAACCAGCCGCTTCGAGTTTCGAGTCAACCACAAGCTTGCGATAATCCCTCTCTGCTTTATCCAAACCAGCCAAGGTTATCAACTTCCCACCGAACTCCGGGCTTAACTTCGGTTCTTTTTGCTTTGTCTCTTTTTCTACAACAGAGTAAAAGTTCCGACCTGTTAGTACACAGAACAATACAAGAATCAGATAAGCATATCCGAATTGACAAAACAGAAAAGTAAACTCACTGGCCCCGGAATGAATTAACATGGGTATGGTCATCCCATCAATTCGGCGCTCATGAAAGAAGTCCACCGACTGCCATTCTTTGACACCATGTTGCGGCTTCGCCCCGGCGAAGAAGCAACAAGACGATTCGGCCACCCTCCTCTTCGGGCTCTGTTTAAAAGCAAAAATACTCCTCATCTCATCGCACGACGGGAGTCCCTCACCCCTCTCGTGCAGCAACACCATTAGCCCGATTATCTTCTTCCAGCTATTCGGTGTAATCTGGCACAACGGCAACTCCCAACTCCGGAGGTATTCCGTGATCAAATTCGGCAACGGGAATCTTAATCCCGACCTCAGACTCTCCACAAACACGCCCACACACCCCGGAGGGGGACTTGTTATTCTCTCCCCGGGATAAGGAGCAAAAATTTTCACTGAGGGGGGAATTCGAATTTGTTCCCTCAATATGACGACGTCAACGTCGGTAAGAATACTTGGCTCACCAATGAAGTCGATCGCCGGATCGGGCCACCTCCTCACCGGTCTTCTCCAATGCGGCACCGCGAGGTCGGTTGCGTTATGCTCCACTACCACATCACCATCCTCGTCGTTTAGCTGTATATTCAAATGCCTTACCAACGACGGGTCCCACCGGTGATATTCGAAAGCCAACTCAACCAACTCCGAATCGTGATACACGTCCAGTGGAACCGACTCCGTGCTCGATGAACTCGCCACCGCCTTTCCCTTTCCTTTCGACGCCATCGTACGATCGAACAAAATATGGGAAGAATAACAAAAGAAATTGAAGAAAAAAGCTTACCAAATGCCTCTCACACAGCAAGCAAGGAAAATTCTTCAGAATCGGACGAACTCAAGCAATAAAGCGATAAGAAAATGCGAGACTGAAAACACAGGTGAAGAAAACCCGATCAAATATTGCCAAACCCTATTTATAAGCATCAGATTATGACCGTTGGATATCACCATTAGGGGCGCGTTGAACCGACGCGACCCCTAATCCTAACCGACACAACCCATTCATCTGATAAGACACCTACTGGTATACGTGGCTGCCTATTAAAGTCGACCGTTACCTCATTTAAAGACCATTACGGCGCGACCGTTCGGCCTACACATTTACTCGTTGACCGTTACGACCGTTCATCACCTCTGTCATTAACTGCTTGAAGATTACCCAAAATCCACCAAGTGTCTCCACCTCGGCATACAGTCTGCACTTCGGACAAATGATCCACTTCGGTTACATCGGTAGATCAACCGAAGATGATCCACCGAACACCATAGACCACGTCGTACCGCCGACTTCTTGCCGATCTAGGGTCTCTAAGTACCTGGTATGTTACAACATCAACGACCATCACTCCGTATGCCCATTGATGTTGGGGGCCTCTCTGTTATCATCCGACTCGGCAAGACGCTGTTAAGAGGTTTTAAGCATCCTATTAAACGCGATTAACAGTTAAACCGACATGAGTCATAACCGCACCGATCTACACCAAAGAACCGGTCTGAACCACCAAAGACCGAAGTGATCGACGATTACCGAGTTCGACATCCACCGAGGACAACATGAACCGAGGTCGTCACCTCCTTAAGCAGGTGACAAGGCGTCTACGAGAGGCTCTCCTACACCACGAGATCTGTCATCATTTACGTGGGACCCCCTGCCTCGAACCGCCCATAAAAAGCCACTTTATTCAAAAAGTAGTACACAGATCCCAATGTCTCAACCCAAAACTACTATAAATAGCGGACCTATGACAATTGTAAAGGGGGCGGGGTTTTTCTAAACATTACCGAACTGTAAACCCTTTATTACGTAACACGAAAAAGCCCATCACGGCTCTTCACCTCGGTTCACCTCGGACCGGGGCCATTGTTGGTTCAATCTTACATGCTTTACGTTCAAATCATTCCAAAGTACTCACTTAATCATATATTACATCGTTGTTAAGAATTACATAACGACAATTGGAAAGGGAATTAACCGCATGGGAGCGAGAATTTTTGGAGGAGCTTCATGAACGTAGAGATTGGGAGGCCCGTGAAAGACAAATCGTACAAGCCCGAGAAGCAATGGTGATCGAAGCTAATGGCCATGAAGATGAAGGAGAGCTGAATTTTCTAATCCTTGAGGACAAGGAAAGTCTCGAAGAGGAGGGGAATGATACGGAAGTGGTCATCAACCCCGGTGAATCCGACAATGATGATGGCGATGATCTTGATATTTGGCTGGAAAATATGTTGGAGGCGCCATCTAGTCCTATTTACCGGCCATCAAGGGTACAAGTTTGGCCAAAAGGTTTTGGCCCAAAGCTGAAGTCGATGGTAAGGAAACGAACGACTAAGAGACAACGCAAGGCAAGGGCCCGAAGAGTAAGCCAATGTAGGTGCGAGCCTTGTGCCAAGAAAAGACAAGCTCAAAGGAAGGAGGCTAAAAGGCGGGGTTTACGATGGGAAAAGAATGGTTGGTGGATACCGGCGGACGATTGTGTGAGATTAAAGGGTTGGGATCCATGGCCCGAGCCGACGGGAACAAGTGGTAACAAGGACGACACTGAGCGGCTAATGGACGAGTGGCGCGCATCGGCCCATGATGCGCGCGGTTGGGCGATCGATGACGATGCACCAGCAGCAGACGTACGGGCCACCGGAGTTAGCGGTGGCGAGCGGGCGTCGGGCAGCGAGGACGTGACGCAAGCTGGATGTGCGATAGGTGACCAGGTCGCGGGGATGGCTAGGACGGGCAGTAACGCGGACGGTACGCGGGGATGCACCGTAGGCGATGAGGGCCAGGGCGTTAGCACGGACGCGCGCAAAGAAGCCGACGGGGGCGAAGCACGCGATAAGCGCGCGAGTACAGGTGACGCGGAAGGAAGCCGTGGCCTTGTGGGCATCGGACTGCCGAGCGCGGGCGCACACGCGCGGGAGGTGAGCGACAAGGACGGGGCATGCGCGGTGGCGCGCGAGTGGGCGACGTGCGCAGTCGCATGCCTATGCGCGGGAGGATTAGGTGAGGCAGGCAACACGTACGCGGGCAGTGTGCGAACGGGAGAAGACCGTGTCCTAGCAGGCGTAGGACTACTAGGCGATGGCGGGTACGCGTGCGGGACGGACGACATGAGCAAGGTGCGCGCGTCAGCGCGCGCGGATGAGGGGCGCACACGAGGCCTAGTTGCCGAAGGAATAGGAGACCGAGGGACGTCGCATGGATGACGCGTGCGACGCGATACGCGTAAGGCGGCGGGCGTGCAAGAGGGCCGAGAGTTTTAGTGTAGGTATAATTAAGGAGCATTCTAGATTTGCTTGGTGTGCAAGCCAAGCATTAGTATTTTGGTAGGTTTAGGATTTTATTGCTTTCTAGACTTAGGATTTAATATTTAATTATTTAT